GGGCAGCCAGGTGTTATCATTTGAAGAAGTCGACCATTTGGGATTGGTGAACTTGACAGTCCAGACAAACCATCTAGTTGAAGTGTCTCTGCTTGCTGAGATTTATTAAGGTAATGAAAGAAATAACCTCGCAGTTACTGAGTTACCATTTGAGAATTCAAACAGCACAGCACAGCTTGTCATTGGGAGAACCAGAGTGCTTTGTGATGTCAGGAATGAAGAAGACTTGTGGGTGGAACAATTCTGATCAGATCATTGTGCGGAGACCCAGGGCTGGGATGGAGCACATGCCATGGAGCTCCCATCTGATCAGGTAATCTCTAACGGATAACGTTTGCTGCCTTGGCGTGAAATGGTTACTGCAAGTTGAAAGGCCAGCTTCACTGAGGCGAGTAATGATGAGGCCTCACTGAGAGGTTTGGAGGGATGACCCAGGGAGAACTCAAGGACACAGAACATGTCCCAAAGGGGGATGCTTAATGAACATATCATGAAGCAGGTACCCGAGTGACAAATCAGGAAGAATCACCACGAGTAGCTATGATGGCAGAGTGAAGTTACATATGGTTGCTGACTCCAGTCCCGAGTTTAAATTGGTACAAGAAAAAGGTGGCTACTGCAGTTATGGGTGCCTTGGTTGGGGAAACAACTTGTCCTTCACACCGTGACATAAAGAGTTGTTTACTACTGGTGTAGGCTTACACTAACAGCCTCGTCAATTGGGCAACCAAAACTGGAAAAGCCAGAATAGGAAGATGAGAAGAACAGGGCGATACTCCCATCCGATGGAGTTACTGGCTCCAAGGATATGGGTTGCCTCCAGGTCAATTCTGGAGTCCATCCCCCATAGGAACATTCGTCTTGTCAGGAGGCTGAGGAAAGGGGAGGAGGGCCAGAATTGTTTTGGTGTGCTTGGCCTCCGATTCAATCACCCCTATAAACATGCCCAAGAAAACAGTCTTTCCCTCATAAGGGGAGGCTTTGAAATTCACATCCTTGTACGAGAAAATAATCGCCCCCACCCAAGAGCAAGAGCTCTGCAGGTAGATGTAGTTAGGCAGGAAAACTGCAAGAACTGTTCGAACACAAAATTGATGTTCTTATCCAGAGGCATGAGCACACCTGCAGTGAGGTCTGGAGAGGCAGCAGAGTTTTCTTTTCACACCCATAAGCAAGGTACTCTGAAAAGAGTGAGAGAAAAGCAATACACCAGAGACAGAGAGACTCTGTCCAACCTGGATGAAGTAGGTTCCGGTTTATCGAGCTGGGGGGTTCTTGGCAAAACAGTAGCCGAGTCAGAAGTGATTTAGTCTTTAGCGGCATTAGATTACTCTATAACGGGCATAAAGATTTTCAGGGGAGTTCAAAATAGGCCTTGGCTCTAGCCAGCTGTGTTCGCAAGCGTCTTGCATTGGAGAGAACTTTGACCGTTTCCACGCATGATGAGCGGCCAAAGGAAGCTCTGGGAAAAATGTTGGTGTTGAGCATTCCAGTCTAACCCTAGCTCACGGTAGGTCATAGTTATGTCAGGCCTCGTAATGGTTAGAGTACAGAGACCTTGGGCACACCTACATTTGGGTTAACTCATTCCCGAAGGATGCAAGGCAGGTTCACACAGGAGAATCTGCCAAAGAGTCTGCAGAGGGAGCTGGATGGATGACAGCCACGGAAGAATGGTTGTTCTGCGTTTCATGGTTGGAAGGGGACAGTGCGTGATGAGCCCAAGTGGTAGTAGACTCGGAAGCATTCTTCCAGAGGCTCTTAGGACAAAACCAAGAGTCTGGAATGACGAGGGGCATGCAGAATCCACGGCAGCATAGCAGTCCAGTGGGTTTGGATGCCTGGGATGCAGACTGGCAAGACACAGTGGTGAATCCGGAATACAAATAAGTTTTACAACTTTTTTTTTCAGTATCTCAATACATATACATGTTTTTTATTATTTTATTGCACAAGGTAAATAAATCAAATCAAATAAAAAATCTGCAATCCAATAACGCATTCACTGGGGCACGGCAAGAAATAACCGAGAGTCAGCCCGGGGGAAGTGCTATTGTACGGTTCATGCCATGGGTGCCCCATTGAAGTGGTCTCGGATGCTAGAGGGCTTATGCGAGAAGCAGCCGCCTGGGTTGGTGGGGGAGGCATGGGCCATTGCTATAGTGAGACCACTGAAGACCTTCACATGACCACACAAGACCAACACAAGACCTCCAGTCTAAATTCAAGGCAAAAGCTATTAGAATGAACTGCAACAAAAGCATTCCTTTCACACTGTCACTTGTGACTGATCTTGTGTCTGGTCTTGTGTTTAGTCTTGTGATGGTCTCGACTACTACACTGGTGTGGGCTCATCTGTGGGCCTCAGTGAGCCGTAGCCGGTGGTGGATTGGATCATCTCAGTAGGCTTCCTTCCTTCGTTCTCTTCTCTGTCAATGGGCCTCTACTTTCTCTGGTTTGGACGGCAGCTCCGAAGCCCACACTGAGACACAGTAGAGGAAACCAAGGAGACATCAGCTCAGTCAGTAGCCCTACATGTCGCACAGGCGGCAAACCCCCAAGTGACTGGGTATCAGATATGGCTGTTAGCATGCCAGTTAAGTGGTGGGAAATACGACAGGCAAAGCCAGCCCCTGATTGTCCTATCTCTGAGCTAGATATAGAGGTGCCAGGTTGACCCTATAAAGGTGCTTCGTAGAAAGAATCCCTCATAGAATCAATGTATGGTGGCCTGGATGTATGCATATTAAGCACACAAACAGGAAGAGAAACGAAAAAGCATGCAGAAGCACACAAAGTGTTGTGACACTGTACTGGGTGCGGCATAGGAGCAATAACGGCGAACGTCACAATGAAATTCAACAGAAATCACCTAAATCAAGAGAATGACAGATATTAAAGGACAAAATCACACAGTTTACTGATAATCAGTTTATTAATAATAAGTTACCATGCACAGTTGATCAGGATCAAGATAAAGCAAAACAGACAACTCAAGAAATTTGAAGATGCCAAAAAATGACACGTCCATTTTAGCGATGGCGTTAAGAAAAAGGACAAACATGGAGGTTACCGGGTTGTAGCAATAGAGGGCATACACAGTTGATCAAGTTTTAGCAAATGGCAACAGGTGCATAAGGAACTTTGCAATTGCAGCGACTGGTTGGGTAGGATGAGCACAGTGGACTCTTAAGTTCTTCCATAAAGACGACATCAAGAGCTATACATGTACTTACCTTCCTACAAATGCTGTAGCACCCAGAGTCATAGAGGGTAGCTCCATCTGTAACAAGAATCATATCCAAATGACGGTTATGTTCAAGAAAAACTCTAATCCACCAGAGATAAGCTTCATAGAAGAGAAAGCCTCTAATAACTGCATGCTCACTTGCAATGAACTCCTGACTGTTGACAAATATGTACAGTTTGGGAATTTTCTGTCTCTCAACCTGTGCTTCAAATGGACATCTACAATGGATGACACTTTAAGTTATTGTTGGACTCAGTTTTCGTTTTGATGAGAAATCTATTTGGATACGCACCCCTTCAAGTGAAAAGATCATCTGGTATTTGTCCTTTGATACGTTGACACTAAGGCTGAAGTCAGTTAGGTCAGCGCTCACAAACTTTGCCCCCTTGAAATTGGGGATGGGATCTGACTCTAGAGCCCTCAAGATGTCCATCATGGTGACTGCAAATCAAGGGAGAAATTCAGCAGCATTAACTGAACTCACGACAAAATACTGGAAGTAATAAACATATAAACAGTGGTTTCAAAGTTATCTGACAAGAAGACAAGGCTAGAGTACATGTACATGTGTATCGTACATTGACAAAGACTGACTACGTCCACTTTGAATTTCCCCAAGGTTAAAATGCAGTTTCTCGGTTAAAACTGGTGTATGCCATCTGATCACTCAATTTAACCGTATTCATTTTCGGTTAAACACGGTGCAGCAAAAATACAGGGTTAAAATGGGGTAGTTTTTGGAAACTGGTAAATTTACTCATTAACTCTGTGGTCATTTTTGTGGTTTTTCAGCTTGGACAGCAAGGCCAGCTATTTGGTTGAAACAGGGATCTTTTGGGAAATCACCCTCTGTGGTCACTTTTGTGGAGCATAATCCCCAAGGCCAGATGAGTTCCTTTGTGCGTGGCGATCGTACTGCATTAATAGGCTGCCCCGCCCTAATCCCTAACCGTATACTAAATAGCTTTTAATCACCACTGATTGATACAAGCGAGTTCTTTACACTGGTACTCAGCTCTTCTTAGGCCTATCCTGTACCTGAATGTATTAGTTTTCAGGCGTCATGCATCCAATGTATTTCAGGAAACAGGCATTTTATTTAACGCATCGCAAATCCCTGCCAAACAATTGAGCCCTTCACGAACCAGCAGATCTGTGGATGGATGCAACATGCAAGCTTATGTAAATTAGCAACCTCATGAATGCGCCCGATCTTCCACGTATTGTGAATATTTTTGCTACAAGCTCTTAAGTCAGCCAAACCACCGAACCGCAGAACCAAAACATGTAAAGTAAACTTAGATGGTCCCACATCACACGATGGTGAGAATTCAAAATCAACTACTCCAGACACAGGTATTGTTTTTTCAATAAATTGATTGCTTTGAATGTCAAAAATTAGTGAATTTATCGTGTAAAGTTACAATGGACATGTACATGTAGGTGTGGCATTTCAGCCGGCTTATTACTTTACTAAACTCTCACTACATTTGTGCTTACATGTATGTACATTCGAAAAACATTATGCATGCAAATCTCCAAGATGCACAGCTGTACATTCCATACTTGGCCAATGAAGTTAGAAATGGATGTTCAAACTTAATTTTAAATGGATGCTGATCACAGTCGGACTTGCGCTTGATCAACGGCAACTCCAGGGAAAAATACCAGTATATTTTGGCCCATTCGCGTAGAGGTACGGCCCAATTTGCATGTGACGTCTTTTTCATTCTTACCATAGGCCGAGATAACAAACATTTCCAGAAGGATGTTCTAAGCTTGCGGACGGGGGATTGAGAGATTTCTAACCAGGAATTCGGCGTAGACTGTAGATCAAAAAGTGCAATGTAAGGTTTGAATTGAGGAAGATGAGAATGAGTAATTCCTCAACAAAAATATACTGACCACTGGCCAACACAAGCTGGTCGAAGTGATCGCCACCCTGCACAATATCGGTTTATGTCCGCTTCCGCCCCTGTGCACCTTTTTATCCGCCCAAGCCTGAGCACATGCAGAAAAGCTTGCCTTCATTCGATATCATACGTTATGCGGCATTCAACTGTGTACATGCATGACATGACCAGCCAAGAAATTTTGGAATGAGGAAGTTCGTCCTCAAAACTGGCATGAATTATTCCAGATTCTCCCGCAGATTTGGTACATGTATGGTTTGGATTGCAAGGTTCTTTTCAATTTGTTGGGGCTTGTGGGCCAGCGGTACCAACCTGCCATGGGGAGTTTTAATCGGTAAAGCCGCCTCTTGACGAATGGTTAACATCGGACTATGGGCGCCGCCATCTTGAATTTTAGGGCTGGTGTGATTGATTTTGTGCACGCAGAAAATAGTCACTTCTGATTGTCATTAAGGAGTGATGAACGTTAACTATACCAATAAAACTTCAGTTGTTTATTATGACTAAACTACTCCAGACACAGGTATCATTTTCAGCTTTATACATCAAAAATTTGTTAATTTATCGTGTAAATGGGTACGGAAATACCTCCACATGCCAGCACATTGAAGCCGATTCCAACTTGTGGACATTTCGCCCCAAACCGTTCCTTTTTTATGTAGGAAGTGGATTTACCTAACTGGAGAACTGAGGTTTGTAGCATGCCATCTCTCCACTGTTGAAATACGGTTAAAATGGGTGACTGTCCGTTTGGACTGTCGATTGACCTGGAGAGGATTAAGGCTTGAATAACAATGGGTGGTGGGTTGAAACACTGTTAAAATGGGGTGAACATTTTGGCTTGATCTATATGGTTAAAACGGGATTAAAATCAGGGTGGAATACTTTTAACCGAGAAACAACATTTAACCCTATTTTAACCAATCTAAATTTCATAATGTTCTTACTCAATAAAAATTTAAGGATAAATTTAATTCTGGAACTTACATTCTGCAATTTAGTAAGTTCCAGAATTAGAACTAGATTCTGATTTTTATCTGCTACTACTGGACGCCTAAGAAAATAAATTACTACTTACAATCTACTCCAGTCATCTTGGGATAATGATAGTAGTAAAGAGGCAATGTAGGTACAACGTCTCCAACCTGCTTCAGATAATTCACAAGGTGCTCTGGAAATAGAAAGAAATTTTTTTTTCATATAGTTTCTGACATGCTTGGTGTTTTAGGCCTGCTGTGATTTAATATGTACATGTAGTATGGTCACAGAAAAACCCTGTGTTCCTAAACTGAATTAAAAGGGAAGAGCAGGTGTTTGGGGCATGAACAGGTGCATTGTAGGTGGTTGTGTAAGTGTTTAAAGTTTCTGGTTACTGCCTTATTTCTCATGGTTTTTCAAGCAGGAAAAGAAAAGAAATTCTTGAGGATATCTACCTGGTGTCTGGGGTTTGAAGAAAACAGGAGGAAGCACAGCTACAGCTGAAGCACCGATGGATGAGGCATGCATAGCCTGAAACAATCCAATATCTCATGTTAGAAGGAATTGTATCCGTTCGAACCAAGCATCAAATACTGAGGAACTGCATCTTATTTTTGCAGTTGTTTTGAAAAAAAAGTTGCAGGAGGGAAAGACTAAACCTACCAAATCCTGTGTATCTTTCAGATTTCCAGCTCCCACTTGTACTATGACATGATCCAACCTATCGAAACAATCAATTTTGGGGACATGTTAATTAGCAAAACTACAGCCAGTGGAACAAAATGATTCCCCAAAGAAAATCCGAGAATACACATTATGGGTTGGTTAAGACTAGTTTTGCAAATTTTAAAGATCATTTTGATTATACTGTTTTCAGACACTTTCATTCTCAATTGGTTTCTTGCAACAAAAACAAGCTGTACCCTTTTGAAAGGACCGGCAGTGCAAAGATTCTTGAGGTGTTTGCCCCTCAACAGCAGATACATTGAGCTAATATTATCTGAATCCAACTTAGAAAAATATAAACTATACTTTATGGTTAACTGAATCAAAACACTTAACTATAATTCAACATGAATATTCATTTGACTTTCTTTCCCTTGTCACACTTGATTCACTTTCCCTTGCCACAATTGACTTACATGTACTTTGCTTTGCCACATTTGACTTACTTTGCTTTGCCACATTTGACTTACTTTCCTTTGCCACATCTGACTTACTTTCCTTTGCCACATCTGACTTACTTTCCTTTGCCACATTTGACTTACTTTCCTTTGCCACATTTGACTTACTTTCCTTTGCAACATTTGACTTACTTTGCTTTGCCACATTTGACTTACTTTGCTTTGCCACATTTGACTTACTTTCCTTTGCCACATCTGACTTACTTTCCTTTGCCACATTTGACCCATTCAGAGGCTACTGCTTTCCTTTCCCTCAGTGTCAGCGATGGCCCTTCAGAAGTGGTACCAAGAACTTCAGTATAAAACCAAGAAGAAAACTGAGTCACTGACATTCCATCCCTCAAAAAGTAAACATGTACAAACAGAGGAAGTTCCAATAACAGTTCAATTTCAAATTTTGGATTTCACAACTTACCAAACACACTATCCACTCCATCCTGAAGTAAATCCTTGACATAAGGGGCAATGCTTTTAGTCTTCAAATCTCTGCAGGATGAAAAAAAGGTCAAATGCTAAAAAAAAGGAATATAATGGCTCTTACTGTGCTTAACATGGTTACACATCTATGCAGAATTTAGTTCAAACACTTGTCAGTTCTAATATTATTATTCATAATGATAAGAACAACATGCTGAGAAATATGATATCTGAATACCCTTATTCAATACAGACAATTGCTTCAAATATGGGCGATTCACAAGAGTGCGCCTCCAAGAGTTTGCAACGCGTTGGCCATTTACGATGCATGAAATCTGTCAAGCCAATACATGTTTGGGAAGGGTTGACAGATTTTGCACATTGTGATTGGCCAACGCATTGTAAACTCTTGGAGGCGCACTATTGTGAATCACCTGTATTAACCTAAAGTGAACCTACATGTACTGCATCTACAGTAAGCCATTGGAGATTGAGAATTATTACTGCACATACAGGTCAACAATATATTCTTCATCGTACAGTGAAGGTTGTCAGACATGATATCGTACATGTACCTGTGCATGTAAGTACACTGAGGCTTATTTTACAAGCCGAACATCCCTTGATGAGGTAAAACCACACCTACCATGCTTGCTCACACAAACAAAAATTACCTGGAAAGCTGAATTCTTAGACCCCTGCAGATGGGAGTACAGCCAACACAGATAATTGATTGACACCTTAACCTCTAACGGTAGATTTGATACCAGTGAGGGCATACATGTACATGTACTTGGACACAAAGTTGCTTGACAGTAAATAAAGTACACACCCATTCTCTTCAAAAGGTGTAAATGGTGCTGCAATCAGTCCCTTCACCTTGAAGTCTTGCAAACTTACTTTGCTAACTTTGCTCTGCAGAGAGTAAAATACCATAATCTGGTCATTTGAGGTCAGAGCTCTTTCATAATACTCTTAACTTGGGGACATGTACTCAGAATAACCACATACCATGTTTCAAAGGCAGATCAAGAAAGGAAACCAATGGGGGCCCATGCCCCCCAAAAAGAAGCCCCTATTTTCAGTTTAATGTACATGTAATAAGCAAAAAGCAACGTTTTCTATGCCATTTTCCTTCCTTGAATAAGCAAGTAAAACGGCCAAAAATGTTGCCAAAAAGTAGGGGAAATACTGAGAAACAAGTGATCTCACATTGGTGGATAAGATGGTATCAAAGTCTTACCATTCTAGCGACTCTGATTGGAGTGACTGGAGAAAATGCCTTTCGCTTGAGGGGTCTTCTGGGAGTTCCGTCTTCATTGATAGTTAATATACTGACATTTCTGTCTCTCCTCAGTGAACAGCTTGGGCATGAGAAAACAAACTCCTTACAGATGTGACGAGGGATCCGGGCATATTTCTTGGCAACCTTGGGGAAACAACACAGGTTAATCCCCGTTTCAGATAAAAGATACATGTACGGTACTTGTATTAGCTTTCAATTGTGGACATATGAATTCGTAAATTAAAGAGAACAAAATAAAACCAATAAATATCCAAGCACAAGACCTCTGAAAGTGTAATATGTCCAACGCAGGAAGTAAAAAAACAAATCAGCTTATATGAGCTAAGGTTTCAAATCAGCTGATATGAGCAAAGGTTTCAAATCAGTTGATCTGAGCAATGGTTTCAAATCAGCTGATCTGAGCAATGGTTTCAAATCAGCTGATCTGAGCAATGGTTTCAAATCAGCTTATCTGAGCTAAGGTTTCCAGCCTGCTTCCATACATGTAGTAGTCTTTTCCAGCACTATGGATGTGACATCACAAAACCACGCTGTGAGTTTTTTACACCATGTAGAACAAAATGACAGACCCTTCCAAGAAAAAGATTTTGCATCAGCATTACAAGTACATGTACATGTATATAGTCGTACATTATGGTTTTGTCAACATGTACTTTGGGGAGATGTTAATTTCAATTACAGGTTTTGCCCTAAAACCACTTATAAAACTTTCATGCCCAAGAAGCCTCATTTTAGCTTAATTTACGAAAGTAAAAATGTAAGTAAACGAAACTTTAGACAAGTGCTCCATAAGAACAAAGAAAACAATCACACACGGAAACGGATACACATGTATTTAGAGAAAAAAATGCAAGAGACATTAAGAGGGAATCAACAAAAACTTGAGAAAAATATTGGAGACGACTGCATTTAGTAGTGCACAATATGGTTAATGTCAGCAAGCTACATAGGTGTAATAGAACCACATGGACATGTAGCTTTGTTGATTAAATCTGTTAAGGAATAGCACTGTGTTTGTACTGCCTTATTTGTTCTACAGCAAACTGTACTGAGGTAATTATTGTTCTTCAACCCATTATTCTGAATAGGAGGTAACCAATCTCTATATGTTGTTGAAGTGAGCAGTGGTTTCCCAAACTTCAGATACAATTGCTTTCTACATTTGGAAGGAGGGGGGTGTTTAATTGGGAACATGTCCATGTAAGACTTATCAGCAGAATAATTAGCAAAAAACTATTCAAAAACTTTCGCGCTGTAATTTTTCCAGACATTCTTCTTTAATAAACCTGGGTGCCATATTGGGACTGCATATTCTAAATTGGTCTGAGATTCTGGCTGGGATTCGAACCTGGGCTGTAGAGGTGGAAGGCGAGGAAAGAACCACTATGCCAACCTGACTCTTGAAGAGGAAGAGCCATGACTGAAAAAAATGAACATCTTTCACCGATGCAAAGACATCTTGAAATAGATTGCAGTACCCACTGCTACATCTGACTCGGACCAGCTAGCCGACCTGGGAAAGCTCGGTGGTCAAGTGATTAAGATGTATGCATTAGTAAGCAGGAGGTCGTGGGTCCAAGTCCCACTCGAGTAAGCTTGTGGTTTTCTCTACTTTTTTTTCATAAGCTCTCGGACAAGCACTGAGTAGGCATATACAGTGTTTATGAATATACATCAGCACAGTGTTTACCGCGGTGCATTGTGGGTGAAAGGTGGGGATGTTGCAGGAACGCGTGCGAACACGTTATGTGTAATGTATACTGTATATTGTGTGTGGATCGACCTGAAACACAAAAAAAATTAAAAATCCCAATTATAAGCTTGTTTTGGCTGCAAGATTGGCAGTGGTTTTAGGTTTGCAGTAGCAGGAAAGCTTCTTCGTTGTTCATTTTGCCGAAAAACAACCCCCTCCCACTCACTCGTCCATGGGAAAATCGTTGGATCCGGTACGTCGTAAGTTTTGTCTCCGCCTACAAAATGTAGACTGCATACAGAGGTCCACTTGGACTTCGCTTTGATGGCCTTATTTCTCACAGAACTTGTCCAAATCTGTCGCCTTTTGCAGTCCCATGGAAGTTTAAAAAAACGCAGCTCTGGTATTTGTTGAGTGCTTGATAAACACAATGGAACACAGCAGTTCACATGGACCATTTTGGATGATAATTGGGATTTTTTTTTTTTAGTGTCAGGTCGATACACCTGCCATAATAAATGTTACACATAACGTGTCACATCGACGCGTTCCTGCAATATCCCCACCTTTCACCCACAGTGCACCGCGGTAAACATGGCATTACGTTATTATGTTGTAGGTCTATTGATGAGGTTCAATGGGATATCAAGGGAAGTGCAGTTGGTATAGGTTGTCAGGTGTACGCCATGCAATGTTTTGAAAGAGTAGCTACATGTACGGTACCGGTATGTTGCACTTACAGTTTAGAGACAAAATTTTGCTTGGGCACATATACTTGGTCAGCAGGCTGATAATCTTGGTACTGTGATGTCCACATGTACATGTGCAGTGTATATAGTAAGGTTGAGAATGGAGTCCAGTCTGTGATCAGGCATGTGAAAAGCTGTACGGCCATGTTTCGACAACTTAAAAATGAGGAGTTTTAGCTTGGAGCCAGATGAACTGCAGTTTATAGACAGATTCCCAAATGCTGACATCAAGGTACATGTACCACAGCTATTGTATGACGGTCAGACAATCGACAATAGCTGTTGTAAGTTCACTGAAAAACTGGAAGCATTTCACGGACGAACATAAAACCAGACCTGCCAACATGCCATACTCCTTCCTGAGGTCAGGCATCACTAAACAATAGAGTAAAAGGTACATGTATTTAAATGAACCTTCAGTTCATTCATATTAATCTATTGTGTAGCAATGCCTGACCTGAGGAAGGATTACAGCGAGGTTAATGGATCTGTAGAACAAGCATCAGGTGGAGTGCACTTACATGCAGAAATGCCATAACGTGTAGGTCCACACATACATGTACATGTAGATCAAGTTCACAAGCAACAGTGTCCTCAAATATAGGCCAAAATTAACGATGACAAAATACCAGTCACTCAAAAGAGTTCCACATAAATTCCAAAGTACAGACTCACAAGTTTACAGATGTTGACAGGAGATTAAAAAGCAGCCAAGAGGAGGCAAGTTACACGGAGATTTTTACACCCCCCCCCGTCAAAAAGAATTAACATGACCGTTGTGATCATGTACTGTGCACACACTCATCAAACGATATAGTCATACACTGTACACCAGTGATTCTCTAAGTGATATGTATACTGTACATGTACACGTGCATGCATGTAGGCATGGACAACCCTTGCACCCACTGTACAATCCTTGCACATGACCCTTGCATCTGACGTTTACATAAATCATTGTTTCTTGTGCACTGTACAAAGTACATGTACATGTACAGTACATGTGCCAAGTAAAAGACACACAGAAGATTGGGGGACACTCAGCATAAACAAAGAACATTATGCATTATACATGTACCACTTATTTCATATACATGCTGGATGCTCCTTTTTAACAGCTCCATAGTATGTTGGGGTCCACAGTTTTGGTTAAACCAGGTTATATCAAACACAAAGCTCTAGGCTACACGAGTAGATTAAGGGACAAAGGATACATACAGGAACAGTTTTCATTCTTCACTTGCTCTTCAGGTTCCTTTATCCTTTATGTTGGCATACATGGAATCCATTTTACTCTGACCCTAAACTCCATCCTCCTATCCATCCCCCTCAACTTTCTTTTTCAGGAGTTAAGGAGGTTTTAAAGTAACTCTCTGCGGTCATTTTTAGACCAGTTTTGCAAGAATGGAGCATACCATTCTCACACAGTGTGAATTTTTCTGAGAGGGGTCATTAGCCAAGAATGTGTACTTCTTCCACTGTGGTGCTCAATGACACGTAAGTAGCCTTGAACTTCCAATAACAGGAACAACGAAACCATAATGTCAAATTGAATTCAAACTTAACCATAATGCAAAATTGAGTTCAAACTTAACGATGATGAGTGTCTTCAAACGCATAACAAGTTTGTAAAAAAAAAAAGAATCGTACAGCCAGGGGGAAGAATCCATTTCTACTCAACTACTCCTACTGATACATGTATGACAATGCTGAAATATTAAGTACCTTGTCAGAGTAATGACATGTATTTTGGGTGAAACGCTCGTAACTAACCCCTGCAAATACAGAGCCAATCTTGGCATTTATGCAGTGCACCGTGGACACGATACTGTTGCTTGCATGAAGTTTGTTGCATTTCTGGTTAGGAATTCACAAATCAACAGCACATGTACACAAAGTGCCCATGTACATGTATAAGTGCACATGTTTGTATATAATAAGTTTTCATTATTAGTGTTTTATTTTAACTCTCCCGTCGCAGCCCTGAGGGTGAATTGTGAGCAAGTTTACACTCATAAAAAAATTACCAATAATTGCTAAAAAAGTTCTTTAAAATATCACTATTACAATTATAAACAATTAAAATAGGACACAAAATCTACAACAAGAAAATTACAAGTAGTTCTCATTCAGAAGTTTAACCAAAGAAGGGATTGAACTGGATTAGTATCTATTAGTTCGGCATCTTGGGATTGACAAAGTGTTGGCATTACGTAAATTATTGGACCTCATCGGTGGAAGCCAGTCATGTTGAGAAATAAGAAGTTTCTTGCCAAATTTCAAACACAAGTGATCACGTCTTTCCTTCAACAAGGGTAGTTGCAGCTCACTGCACATATGATCATATGACGTACAACTTGAAATATCAATGGATAAAATTTGGATAAAATTTGTAGTTTTTCGAGCGATTTCGTTGTTCATTTTTCAATCCAGAATGCCAAACAGGACATGCATGTTCAACGGTAGGTCTGATATGTTGCATGTACACAGTTACAAGATCTTCAATTGATATGCCGCAACGTCTAAGCTGACGTAACAAATAAAGCCTTCTATTAAAGGAAGTACTCATCAAGGTTACCTAGATATCCCATCTGAGATTACTTTGGATATTAATGCCAAGAATTTTAAGACAGTTCAGTTGATCAAGAGTCGAAGCACCTCAATTCAAGTCTGGAATCTGGATAGCGTTCTTTTTAAAACAGTCAATGCCTGGCATTTATCAGCATTTAATATCATGTTACTGTCATTAACCCATTGGTTTAGTCGATCAAGTTGATTTTGAATCAAGCTAGTTTGCACAACATCGCTAAATGTCTGACATAGTGTTAAATCATCTACATATTTGTAGTGAATGACTTCAGGAATGTTAGATCTGGCGTCATTGATCATGACTAGAACGGCAACAGGTCCCAGTTTGGTGCCCTGCGGAATACCTGCATAAACAGACCGCCATTCAGAAATCTTATTTTGTATACAGACAGCCTGGGTGCGCTCAGAAAGAAAACTACACATCCAAGGAATGATAGATCTACAAACACCCGAATCGATGAATTTACATGTAGGAATAAGAATATTGTGGTCCACTCGATGGAAGGCCTTGGAAAAGTCTGTGACAACAATAACAGCAGAGTTTTTTGGCGAATCAGTATCGCAATGAATTTTATCCAACATATAATCAAATAGTGAGCAGCTGAGTTGTCTTTAAGACAACCAAACTGTTGTTTGTCTAAATTACATTTGATATCATTTTTGATCCAACTAGTTGCAAAGCCTTCTAAGACTTTAGCAAAAATGCAAGTCAGTGATATTGGACGAAGATTTTAATCGTGTAAGGTTGGCACTTTCGTACCGGCACCATATATGCAGACTTCCATATTTTTGGAACAATACGTTCTTTCAAAGAGCAGTTACAAATATCTGATAAAGGAAAACACAGTTCATAGGCAAACTCTTTAATCAACCTGGATGGAATTAAATCGAGACCTCCAGTTTTATGTACTTTCAACTTTTTCAATTCATGGTATACTTCCTGTGTGGTAATGGCACTTGTGCCAAGGCTGGTAAATATGCAGGCTGCTTACTGAGATCTAGGCAAGAGATGTCACATGCTACGACAAAAAATGTTCATTAATACGCTAAGCTGTCTCCATTGCAGTATATTTCGCAGCCTCGTCCGCTAGATAAGTTTTCTGTTTGTTATACAGACCAGACATTTTCTTAATTTGTTTATGCCAATCCCAGAATTACTGTTTTTGAGGTGGTCTACATTTCCTTTATAAAACTTACATTTGGAATTTTTAATTTCATGAGAAACCCTGTTCAGCAGAAGTCGCCAAAGAAAAAATTGACCTTCCGAGAGAGCATACTGCCTTTTCAATATGAGTGCCTTAAGTTCAGGATTCATCCATGGTTTATCCTCGTTATGGGTGGCAACAGTTTTAGTGGGGAAGAAATGATCAGTTGAAGCATGGAGAGTTTCATAAAATATGTCAACCTTCTGGTTTGTAGAATCGGCTGCTTTGACTTCGCTCCAGTTGTATCCAGGTATCCATTGCCCAAATGCTAGTTTGTCAGAGTTCCTGATAGGTCGCATTACTCTGCGATTAATGCAGTTGTGATGCCTTTTGTGTTTTTAAGCATCAAGATCACCAAGTTGTAGTCACTCATACCAATAGGTGTCAGTATTTCCGGTTGATTATAATGATGGTCAATATAAGATATAATTTTATCCAAGATGGCCTCCCCTCTGGTTGGTTTGTTTACAATTTGCACAAGACCACACACCTGGCAAAGATTTCTCATATCACACCAATTAAAGTCTCCCAGCAGAACAACGCCTACACCAGGATATTTGTCCTGCAAGATGTCGATGGATGTAAATTAGATGTTCTATCAATTCTGTTCTGTACGGTGACGCAGGTGGGTGGTAGACGACGCAAAAAATCAAGCCAGGGATGGAGCGGGGTAGGCAAGTAGGTCGGGCCCACACCCACAGTACCTCAAGCTCATTCGGGACTTGAATTTCTAACAGAGCTCACGAATAGATGTGATCACGTAAATATAATGCCACACCTCCCCCTCGTCTGTTGTCTCTGGGTTTGCTATACAACCAATAATTAGGGATGAAAAATGTGATGTTTTTGACTGTAAGTGGAAACCATGTTTCAGTAACAGCAGCAACATCGATATCATTTGCATTTAAGATTACTTGAAGTTTATCTATGTGTTGGACAAGCGATTGAGCATTCAATAACAGGATCGACGGAGGATGTATGGTCTTGGATTAATACTCCAGCTTTGCCGAAATGTTAACCAGATTTGACGTGTCTCTCCCAAAAGAATCTTGATTCGAGATATGTGTTCTTGGGTTGATTAGCACTGGGATTTGTCGGTCTTGAATTTTAACCCCAGCAATGTATCACTGATGAGTGGGTCGCTGCTTGCATATACCCAAGGCCTTGAAAATTGACCACTTGAACTTCGGGATCCGGTAACTGACGTGACAAAGCTCCAGTAGTTCCTTTCTTGAATACCGAGTTCTAGTCATAGTAATCATCGTACATCTTTCCTGGTCATGACAGGGTGCTTTCACATACATGTAGTCAGGACCAGGGTCACGGTTAATATCGCCACATTTTAGTATTTCTTGGTGAAATGTAGCACTTGTGTTACTGTAGTACAACAGTTGTGGTCCAAATGATTGCCGTTTGTAGCTGGGAATAATGGCAGATTTCACACTGACTGCACACTGGGGACCTTGGAAGTTCCTGCAAAGACTGTGGCCTTCCATCAGCAATATGGCGAACAGTATCAGACAGGCCGTTGCCCCGGCATTCCACATCATTGTCGGACTGATTGTCTGTGAAATATCGCAGAGGCACTGGTCCTTGACACGAGGTAGGGCTTCTTAACATTGTAGAATATTGCAGAGAGCCAGAATTACGGCAGAAACTCGCACCAATTTTTTAGCTTTATTACTTCCAAAGCATCTAGGCTTCAATAATAAGTGCACATGTACATGTATATAATAAGTATACATGTATATAATACATGTAAGTGCACATGTACATGTGGAATAAGTGCACATTTAGTGATTTATTGCTGTTACTGAATCATTTCCTTTCCTTTAATATTTTCTGCGATTTGCAAACTTCCTTTGATCTTAAGTTTGGAATTTGAGTTGAAAGAAAAGTCTGTTGATATACAATGTATTAAAGAAAACTGTGAAGTCACGTCACTTTGAAGTCACCTCAAAACATACTTACATCGACATAGGTATTTCTGTAGTTTTTATGAGGCACATTCTGTTCGTGGATTTCCTTGACAATGTCATAGATTTCCTCAGCAGCTGCTACTCGCCTCCAGTTGCCAAGCAACGAATCATCTGAGGTATCCTGAGGGAAATTATCAAACTGTTCATTTGGGTAATTATTATGCATACATGTAAGAAATATGGATGTGTGCTGTACAACAAATACATGTACTGCAAATGGTTAAAGTAGACACAAGTGATGACCACGTTTGTTAACATATTTTTGTTAAAATACGGGGGGGGGGATTAACCTGGTAAAGAAAACTTGTTTGACCTACAAACTCACTATAAATAATGGTAAATATGGGGGAACCGCTCCAAAAATTAACCCTAAAATGTTATGTGTGCATAGCCTGGAAACAAATAGCACAGGTCCTCCTCTATTTTGGTTTACCCCATTTGGTTAGGTCTTTTTTGTATTGTTTTTTGTTATTTTTCTGCTTGTCTACACAAACCTCTTCTCTCGTTGGTTCACAAACAACTTCTTCATGCCACCCAAGCTCTGGCGCTACTTTTAGTGAAAACTGCCTCTGTCGAATGTAGAACATAAATCGTGAAGGTTCATCAACTTCTTTTCCTTCTTTCTGCAAAACCTTCTTAATCCTCTCCACCTTCTCAGCTAAAATGATGTCTGAGTTTTTGCTTTCCATAACCGTTTTAATCTTCAACCAAAACAGACGTCTTCTCTCCTCATCCTCTTCATGTTGTACAAGTTCTGTATTCTCAGCTGGCAATGTATGAGCCATCGTCACGGCAACCTGCTCCTCATTCTCAGACACTGTCGTTTCCGTGTTGTCAACCTCAAAAACCTCCAAAATTGTCTGACAGGGAATTCCACTCTCCGATTCTGCAGTGTTTGTTTTACTCAAGGCAGAAGGAATTGCTTCCGATAAAGTTTCAATAATTTCGGTGGTAACTTCCATTTGAGGTTGTTCTCCATTTCCTTCCACTGAAACAATCATGGTTTCGGAAACCTGGGGGCTGGCAGCTGGTTGTTTTGTTCGAATGGTTGTCAAAGATTTTGGTATGAGCCGTGGTGAGTCCTCTACAGTTTCTGTGTCTACAGTAGTCTCAACCCGAGTTTCTGCCTCCATTCTGACTGGCTGGATTTACCACTCCAACTGCTGACCTGTTTCTGTCCAATGATTCTCCCTCCCAAAAATATATATCTGGTTAAAGCAGAAAACAAAATGTAAAGGTTTTAAAGACACAAAATTAGATAAAAACCTTGAGTTGTGAGGGAGAACCACAATGTTACAATAAATACTTTCACATGAATTATTTTCATTTTTGTGTATTTTCTGCTCCAAAATAAAACTGAATTCCACATAAACACCGCTAACAACTATAGAAGTTGACAACTTGGATCCTTGTTTAATTTGTCAATTGTCATACAAACAAAAATCTTGTTTTTAATACATGTATTTGTCACCTTTTTCCTAGACCAACATTTACACAGCTGAGAGTCATTCAGGAGAGGGCATACATAGCAACTGATACTCTCCTATCCACGCGTGGCAGGGCTGTAGACCCTAGCCCCGCTTTTTCGAAGGTGCTGATTTCACAACTGCCACAAATTATTGAACGAAGTCGATGACACTGTTCTGCACTGAGGCATAATTAAGAAAAGTGAGGACCCAAAACCACTAACTTCATCATATGCCCGACCCACTTTACATGTAAATACATGAACACGGAACTACGTGGTGCACTGGCATGTGTGACAAGCATGTCGTGTACACCTACAGCCCTAACATGCATGCGTACAAGGAGAATATCTGTTGCTATGCAGTTCATGCGGGATGACTACCGCAGGAGTGTGGAGTTATGTATTTTCTACAAATACGCGTACATCACCAAGGGACCTAGGAATTCAGAGTTCTGGACATGAGGAACATGTGAAAAATATTTCAGCTACCTGTGTCAGGTAAAAATGTGCAAAAAAAATTGTTGTAAAAAATGGAACTATCTTAGACCGATGTGAAGTTAGTTCCTCGCTTGATGTTAAATGTTGAACAAGTAACCATTTGAAATTCGAATGTTGAATGAGTAACCATTTGAATTCGTATGTTGAATAAGTAACCATTTGAAATTCGAATTTTGAACAAGTAACCATTTGAAATTCGAATATTGAATAAGTAACCATTTGAAATTCGAATAATGAACAAGTAACCATTTGAAATTTGAATGTAGAACAAGTAACCATTTGAAATTCGAATATTGAATAAGTAACCATTTGAAATTCGAATATTGAATAAGTAACCATTTGAAATTCGAATGTTGAACAAGTAACCATTTGAAATTCAGGACACACCTCCCTGAAAGCAATGGAGTGCAAAAGTGAAAAAAACTCTTCCACCATGCACATCCATTCACATGTACCCAATTTACACTGTACGTGCCATTTCACAATGATGTATACACTAACAACTCTCTCCCACAGAGGGAACCAGGGGCAACAGGTTTTGGGGGTCAAACGGTCCCTGAAATGTTTATTATGGTTTTTACGGCAGTGTACATGTAATTATTAGAAATGTTAGAGGAAAAATAAAGGTTAGTTTTTATATACTAGCCATTCCGTCAAAACTGTTTCAGTTAACTGAAATAACATCCCATGCCCCGATTCTCGACTTCTTTTTTCAAAGTGCTTCTGTGCACTTTAGCAACACCTTGGCCTGCATTTCAACCAAGGTAAAGGCAGTTTTCCACAGATTTGACGAAAGTCTTGTCAGTGGAGCTCTTCTGCAAACCAGAGTGGGAAAGTGAATGCATCACACCACACTTTTCTCAAATCAAAATAAAAAATCCTAATCCCATGCTCCACCTTGAGATTGAATCTGATGTCATTGTTTTCAATCAACGACAACTCCTGGCAACCTAGGGCATGGGTTTTTTTTTGTGGTCAAAAATGCCCTAAAATGTAGTTGGCACAGTTTGTTTTTTTGTCCCGTTTACATTCCATATCTTTTAAGAATGTGCATCCTGAATGTCAACGGTTACTTATTCAACGTTGAATATAAGTTACTCGTTCAACATTGAACATCGAACGTCAAAGAATAATTAACCACATGTACCTTCACACCTGTTTATCTTAGGAAGCCTTTAATTCTTAGATGTTTGTTGTAATGTAATGAAGACGTCGTCCAACCTGAGCTAATCTACAAGCATCATCTGATCATGCATCATGGCCATGCATTACTTCCATAAATGTAAAATTTATACAACTTACAAGCCTCTTCATAGCTGTGTAAAACTCCCACAAACACTTTTTGGCTGTTTTGATTGTGCCAACTTACCCTCCATCACAGCTATCTGTGCAACCAAATTTCATACATGCCTTCTTGGTGACGTTAAATGTCAGATGGGACAGTTTATTCACCTTACATTCTCATTAAAATTATGATATTCTTGAGAATTTTGCCCCTGCTCACTAACCCCAGAACTGTGGGGTCCGACATCCCCCCACTCGCACGAAGCAAGGCAGACATCGGACCCTACAGTTCTAGGGGTACATCCACACTACAGAAAATCAGCATCACGTAGTCTCAATAACTTTCAGCTGTGTGATAGCTTGACCAATCGAAAAACAGTTCCTATCTTTTCCTTTTGTTTTCCTGTCACCCAGATGAAAGCCACACTGTAGTTGGTCCAATTCACTTCCATTCCAATGACCAATAATATCTTAGCTTTCTTTTGGATGGTGTCAGGAAAACAAAAAGAAAAGACAGGGGATGTGTTGCGATTGATTCAAGCTATCACGCAGCTGACAATTATTGGGAGTATACATGTATGTTGATTTTCTGTAGTGTGCATGGGCAAATGCTGACGAATTTCACCACTTTAATGATGATACAAGCTAGATAAACCTCCCCATCTGACACCTAACTTCACCAAGAAGGCATATATGAAATTTGGTTGCACAAATAGCTGTTATGGAACGATAAGTTGCACAATCAAAACACACTTTGGGCATGTCTGGCAGCAGCCATGCATCATTGCATGACATCCACAGCGTAAATTACACATCTACATGTACGCCTCAAACTATGGAGTCAAACAAAACGTATTTCATCCTCCACGACCTAAACGACAAACGATATTACCTGGACCTACAGCAGGAAATCGAAATACCTCAAAATCGGGTAAAAATGACGCCTTAATGCAAGCCGCCAAAACCAGGTCTGATTCTCGTGAATAAAGCGACGCTGCGAACATACCTCTTGAGGGCGCTGTATCAATTTTGCGTCGCAGATAAAATAGTACAGGAAGGGAAGACTAGCAAACTCAGTCATGTTAGTGCCGCTCTCGTGACAAAGTCGTCTCAGGATGAATTCCTTGCAGACTTTTGTTGTTTTTATAAACGCCCTACATTAATTTACCAAAACAGTAAGGAGGCCTACACCCTTTTGATGAAGACATGAAAGGAATGTTCATGGTTATGGGGTTGGTTTAGCCGTCAAGTCTTGGAGTCCTTCACATAGGCCCACTATGGGCAAGACGTGTTTAACAGGGCCAGTCTACTGTACAGAGGAGTTGGTCCAGAGTTTGGGGCCAAGGGTTGGCTCAACTCGAAAAATGGCGTTCTAGTTTACTTAAGTTGCTGCTGTTTTTATAAAGAATCAGGTTTTAAAGTGTCAAATCAACTTGTGTGACCACAGGAGGATATTTATTATTTTTTTTGTTCAAATTTCGTCAGTAAATATCTTGGTTGTTTCAAAATCATTAATGATTTTAAGTAACGGCAAAACCCGTTATATATAATTAAAATTTCCCCAACGTAAAAATACATCTTGAAAATATTTACCTTCTGTTGCCACACTGTTGTCACATATGCATACATCTTGCTCATGGTAGAAATAGTTTATCCTAAGATAAATTCTGTACATTGACCGTGAAGACCGTGCTACAAATTCTTTTTTTCAAAGAGACTCACAAACATAAGAATAATTACAGCATTTTGCCGTTACATGTAAAGCACCATTGATGTTCATAGACATGGACATGGGGTATTTGCCATAAATGAAGAAATGGTCAGTACTTTTAAACTGTGTAATACAGGTACATTTCGTGGTCCCATTGAAACTTCTGACATGAACAGAAATGGCGACTGTCAGTAACCAAAGAAAATTATATAATTGTAAAATGTCAAAATTTCAAGTTTGGCTGCTTTGCTGTAGAGGGGCTTTAGGCTTTCCCTCTGTAAAGAAAAACCAAATGTGCCTCCCCTGTTGGACTGGAACTGATGACTGGCTGCTTACTACGTGTATGCTAATGATTTATGTCTCTCAGGTTACAGTGTCAGCTAGCTGATGTGGTACAAGAGAAACTAGCTTAACCTTTGTAGCTAAATCCAGAGCCACCATAATTTAAATTGGTGCTTTTGACTCTTTTCATGCAAAGATTTCAGCACGGGAAGCCTTGGGCACGTCACATGAATTTCCACTCCAGGATGCAGTCAGGAATGCAAACAGGAGAAATGGTAGATGCAATAGGCCAGACTTCAACAAACAGGAACATTATGGCCCAAGTGATGATGTAAGATCATGGAGAATGGGCAATCAAACATTCCTCGAACTGGAGAAAATCCTATGGTATTCAAATCAGAGGGGAATTCTACCCACCTGAGGTCATTTTATTTCACGCTAAAATTCTAATTCCCAAAGTTGGTACCAAATTTTGGGAGCCACCTTGCCCCACTTCTTTAGTAACAGTATGGATTCATAAAAATTTTAATCCAAATCATGTAACTTGTAAGTCAATCAGAGAATTATTTCAACTATTACCCTGCCAAAGGCTTTCGGTTAAAATCTTTTCCCAACAAGTAAGTGTTGGGGATATTTTTCACCGCTTGTTGGAATCTATTGATCAAAGAGTTCTGGTGACAAAGACTTCTATTTGCAGAAACTGCCTATTTTTAGGCTATCCAGAGCAGCAATAATTGCTACCATTACATTCTGTATTTTAAACTTGATGGTAGCACTGCTGGAATATGTCGTCTTATTTTGTTTTTGTGACAAAGCCAGATATGTTTGTTATTAATTACACGTTTTTACATAGAAGTAGTTCCCCTTTAAAAATGTTTAACTTTAGTTTAGAGTTCTTGATTTTTTTCTTGTAGTGTGCCCCCCTGTTTATTTGTTTAAGCCCTAGGTTCCCCCATATAGAGGGTGCACCCTCGTAATTAGGCCAGAAATATGTCCGCAGAGCTCATTAATAAAAGTTATAGACTCAAAATATTCTATATTAGAGGGTCCTGAGAGCCATGGAACTGAGGAATTGAAGAAATATGAGACTGGACCTCTGGGCCAGACTCGGGGCTTCCAATTCTGAGCAATTTGGATGCAATCGGGTTTGAAAGTGGCACTTTTTGAGCCATTTTGCCAAGGAGGG